GGTCACACCCGCCATATGTTCCTTGTCTTGATCGGGTAAATGGAAAAATCCGTAGAAATATTAGTATGTAAATAATTGCCTTACAATTATGAAAAACGTCAGTCAGCATTTGACCTAATGATAGATTGTATTTGCTGTAAAGGTCATTGTATCGACCATAGAATTTGCTAAATAAAGAATTCAAAAGAGACTGTTGATATCCTTGCTCCATCAAGTGTTGGTTAATAGCTTGCCTCCTTTTGAAAATTGATCACACGGAGAGCATGCTCTTGCGTATCAAATCAACAGGGAGACATAAACCCAATATGCAGGTGAGAAGGGTATATCGCTACATTAATAAGGAAAGTTGACGATAGAAAATTCGAAGTCATCATGTTTATCATATTGTTTCGTTGTTAGGTTACCATTAACGTCTTTTTCTTGTAAAATATCCATATATGAAACAGATGTACCAGACTCTATGGTGTCTTTTGTTTCAAGTTCACTGGGATATACCGATTTGACATATGAATTGAAGTAACTATTGCTAATTGATAAAACGTCGACGATATATCTGAATGTCGAGTTGAAGGCCACAGCAAGTGTTTTCATCTTCTCATGTAGAAGCTTTTTAATAAATTCTGCTTCATATGAGAATAAAAACAAGTCGGCTTATAAAGGGGCACAAATAGTGCCCGTCGAAATTCGAACAGTTTGTTGGAAGACCATGTCTCCGAAGACCACATAAATGTTGTCAATGAGGAACTCCAGAATCCTTTGAATATCAATTTCAGAGTACTTTTGTGTACAATCAGAGTGATTTTTAACAAAGTAATTTTGTTGTTGACCAATCACAAGATACGACAATCTCGGAGTCTCATTTTTATTGAAGAAACAGTTGTCTATGATATCAAAAAGCCTAGAGTTTCATTTTAGCGAGTGCAGAATAGTTATGTTGTGATGATATCGATTATAGAAAAAAAAAATGGAAATTTAAAATTTCTTTAAAGTTTTTGACGATCAACATATCTACACCACTTCTAGAATATGCTATAGCACAGTACGTCTGAATTTTCTCCTTACAGCGGTTAATATTTTTGTAAGGAATAAAGATAGGACTTGTTAGGGCATTTGCTGGATCCGGCAATGTATCTTTGTTTGTAAGGATTTTTTTATTAATTTTAGGAATCTAGTCTACGTAGGGTAGATCGAACTCACCTTGGTTGACTGGAATGTTAAAAAGTATTAAACACTGAGATATGATTTTGAAGAAATTCATCTTTAGAATGTAAACTGAGTATAAGCTGCATGGATTTCCAGATGTAGAAATTGAAACCAAGTTCTTCTAAAATACAGTTATGATAGTGAGCATTTCAAAAAAAAAAGACGATATTGTTACAAGCCTTGTTTGCTGGAACCATAACATGCTGTTATGAACTCTTTCTGATTCTTTAATTACCTCCGATTTAGTGAAAACGGAAAGATAGATGGTTCGCATAATGCCCTTTAATTTTCTAATACGGTTCTTTAATATATTTCTTAAACACTTAATCCATTCTAACAGAGTGTTCAGGTCTTCTCTTTCATATTTTGCCAAACGTCTGACATACTCTTCAACAAAAATTATAATTGGGGCGAAGTTCTGCCGCCAATAGAAAGATCGATGCTCCCTTTATTTGGGACATTTAGGATAATTACTTGCTTATCTTGGTATAGATAATGTTGAACATTTTAAAGCTTGTATTTTCAACTTTCGTTTAAAAAATAACCAAAGGCTTAAATTTAAGAGGATAAACTAGGATGGTTTAAATCTTGAGTTTTACGTCTTTAAAGTATGTAATATGAATCTACTTCCAAATGCGTATTTATTTTAAACCAACAGTTAAAAAGGTTTACTTTTATTAGATTGTTTACTTATGTATATTAAGGAGTTTCCCCTATTAAAGAAATTTTGACCAATACGATAAATGTTCGAAATTTCATAAGGGATGGTCCTTGAAAGTACGTACATGTATATTATGAGTGTCATTTCTAAGAAGTAAATCAAGAATACAAGAAGTAATGAAAACATACTATAAATCCCCGACCACACCGGTGATTTAAGCTTCCTTGTATTTTTTTTTTTATAAAAGCAATAAATTAGCTTTAAAAAATTGCCTGTACTTGCATGGTATAGAAAACTAATACTAAATTAAGTAAAAGTACTATCTGATTTTTTTATTCAAATCTCAGACGTTTATATAAAAATACTAAGCCTAAGCCATTCCCAGTGTATCATCTGTCATATTTAATAAGAAAATCAGTGTGTTGTTGCAAGGAAGCACTTTTCTTCGTTTAACCCATCATAAACTGAATATTACATGTTTTCAGGTGGAAAAGCTGGTAAAATGATGCAATAAAACATGCCCAAAGACTTAATAAGGACTACTTAAGCAACACAAACATTTTAAAGCATTAACCACACAATACATGTATCTGGCCTTTAAATATACCGTATTTCAATGTTTTATTTAACAATAAGTAAAATGACCAAACGAAATAGAAATAGATGAGTTACGAGGAAGAGATAGGGTCAAAGTAAGGCGTCAGCTTAAAAGTCAAGTTGGTGTCAGTTGAAGACATCACTAAAAATATTAGTGTCATAGGAACCCAAACAATGTCGACAATTATGCAGGCAAAGAGTACATGAAAAATATCAGGAAAGCTGAGTTAAGATGATGGCCATGAACGAGGCTACGACAGAACTAATTACAGCTTAAGATACTGCAGCGAGCTGGGATGTGAAAAATACAGAGTTTGCAAAGTACATGTATTAAGTGATTCAAAAAGAGAACGCCGCGTTGTGTGTAAGAGTTATTTTTTATTTAAATCTTCGAGAAGAAAAAAGAATGATGCATGTTTAGAGCATGTTTACCACACCACTTATCTTCAATAACATGTAAAAAGTAGATACAGGTGTACGCGTACGTAAAATTGAAAGCGACTTTAAAAATTGTGCACCAACTGTCTTGTACAAGGACAGTAAATACGTGTCTGGAAAGGATCAGAAAAAGAAATGCAAAAAGGCTTACTCTTCCAAATTTATATTTTTTCCTAGATGAAATTAAATCCCAAAGAGCCATGAGAAAAATTCATAGTTAAAGTTAGAGACATGCAGCATACAAAAAAATGTTAAAGGAAGGCTTATATATTCATTTTATTCCATAGAGAGCCATAGCATAGCAAATAAGGTTGATAGAATATATCTAAGGTTTAATCCAATGACAAGAAGATATTCCAACACTATACATAAAATTAAAGGACAAAAAAAAAAAAAAAACTAGAAAATTTTAGAAACCTTTTGTTTGGATAATGAATAATGAGACAATGCACTTGTCATTTATGGTTACTTATAAGAAAAAAAAATATTACCAAGTCTAGGGTAATAAGAAGTACAGCAATATCTTTGCTATTTCGGTCCGGGATGAACAACAACAACAACAAAAAACCATAATTAACAACTTAAATCAAGTGAATTTCGCATTGAAAGTCACTGATACCTTATTGGTAACCTACGTTTCTAAACAAATGGCACAGATTTTATATGTAAGCGCTATTTTGTTTAAAGCAAATGTATTTTAACTTCATATCTTAGCAATTGTTTTTCCAACAACAGTCACCCAATACAAACAAAAAGAATCATTTTGAACATCTTTATGATTAAGATACGTATTAAAAGTTGGATATTCTTTGTCCTTACATTGAAAGAATTTGCAAAGATATCTCTGTGGTAACATATTATCGTAAGAGAGGTATTTAATTTCATATATTTATAAATGAAACTGAAATTTTATAAATGGAAAGAAGTACAACGTGGAAGAAGTAAAAAAAAAATCCTATTTTATCTTTGATATACGTAATGACTCGTGGGAAAGAGGCAACAAATTGATCAAGGTGGCCATGTTAAAAGCGACAAAGCATTTATTTCTTCTACAATGTTTCAAAAATCATAAATTTTTGGTTTATTCGTATCAAATTTTCATTAACCAAAAAAAAAAAAAAAAAAAAAAAAAAAAAAAAAAAAAAAAAATATATATATATATATATATATATATATATATATATATATATATATATACGAGGGTTGTTCGAAAAGTTCGTGGACGATGCAATTTTCTCCGAAGGTTTGTTGCAATTCGAAAAACGTTGTATATTACAATATATTTTGAAATAATATGCAAAATTTCAGATAGTTTTACTCACATTTATTAAAGTTATATGAATTTTTATGATACATTGTCAGTGGCCGCGGAGCAAACTGTGGCGTATTTTTATGACGTCGTTACGTCGTTATGTCTTATGAATAATCGGAATAAAATAAAACTTTCCAGTCTGCTATAAAACAATTGTCACTCTTTTCAAAGTATACACCACTGAGTTTTACACACTATTGATGTCTTTCAACCCACTTTTGAAAGACATTTCTGCACCAACTTTCGTTAATATCCTTCAAAATGAAACTAGCTGCACATCGTAGTTCTTCTAAATCATCAAATTTCTGCCCCCTGAGTCTTGATTTCAGATATGGAAAGAGTGCAAAGTCCATGGGGGCGAGGTCTGGGCTATAAGGAGGGTGTTGTAAAAGATCAAATCCAAGTAAATCTAATTCAAGCATGGTAGATTGCGATCTATGTGCTGGAGCATTGTCCTGGTGAAGAATGACAGAGCATAAATCAGCAAAATTCGGACGTTTCTTCCTTAATGCGTGGACTAAGTCACGTCGAATAACCTTAAAAAAACGAAATTGGGGAACTTTAGGCCTTAAAATAAAAGCGTATCCTGTTTTTGTATTATAATTTAAATGCACTTAAATTCAAAAAAAATTCTTTTGTTGAATTATATAACATTAAATTACAGAAAATTAAAAGGTACACAAAAGACATAAAGACAAGATCTAGATACCTTTGAATAATAATCAGCATTGATGTGTTGTCCATTCGGCACGGCATGTGCGAGAATAATGCCCTGTATGTCCATGAAGATTATAAACATGTGTTTGCCATGCGAGCGTGTAACCTTTGCTTTTTTGGAGGCGGAGAACCTTTTCTTTTCCACATCATAGATTGTTGTTTAGTCTCTGGGTCGAAGAGATGTAGCCAAGTCTCATCTGTCGTTATTATTCGATTGAGAAATAATTCACCTTCATTTTTCCATCGTCTTAAAAACTCTTCCGATGCTAGGACACGCCGATTTTTTTCGTCCGCAGAAAGTAATTTTGGAACCCAACGAGCACACACCTTTTCAAATCCAAGAGCTTTCGTAATTATTTCATGTGCCGTAGACGTACTTATTTCAAATATATCCGCTATATCCCTTACTGTTAGTCTTCTATCTTTTTCAAGTTTTTGTAATACTGACCCTGTCAAGTTCGAATCGATAATTAGAGGTCGTCCTGACCTTTCGTCATCTCCAGTTTCACATCGTCCTTCTTTAAACCGTTTATACCACTTGTACATCATTGATCTTGACACTTTTGACCTATCCCCACATTCATCTAGCAATTGTTTTGTCTCAAAAGGAGTCTTTCCTGCTACCACACAAAATTTTATCACAGCACGTTGTTCTGTGACGTCCAATTTTGATGCCGTTCTCAACTGTGAATCTAATCCGTCCCCATTCATTATGAATCGATATGCTGAAAACCACTTGCTCAAAATTACTGAAACTTCTCAGATATGACGGTTGCATATTATTGTGACGTCATATTGAATATCATAAATTTTCGAGCGCAAAATTAAAACAAAATCTGTAATGACAATGTCGACTTAAAATATTCAAATACCTAGAAAACAAGGATGCTCCGCGACCCCTTACTAATGAAATTAGAATGGCTATATAATTTTTATTTAACGTACCAAACAATTGAAAAGGTGTATTTTTACTGGAAATATGGTATTATAAATATATGGAAATTTTCTCTTCAAACAAACAAATACAGCTGTCAGTACCGAACTTGTCCACGAACTTTTCGAACAACCCTCGTATATACATATAATAATAATAATAATAATAATAATAATAATAATAATAATAATAATAATAAAAATAAAAGTAATAAATGAGCTGAAAATCAATCTGATTCTACCCACAAGTTCTCTGATATTTAAAAATGCCGGAGTTCCTTATTGACGATATAAATTAAATTATTGGAGACCAGATCTTCCAAAAAATCTGTTTGAATTTAGACGGACACTTATTATGCTCCTTAATTAGGAGATTTGTTTTAATATTCTTATTAAGCAGTATTTATTAGGAAAAAAACTTCTACATGGAAAAAAAAACTCTTACTGTGGTTTCCAGTTCTTTTCGATATGATGACGACGTTTTATCAATTAAAAATTTTTATTTTTATTCAAATGCCAATACCGATAAATCACAGCGCTAGCGCATTAGAAATGAAGGACACCACAGAAATCTGCCTCATCTGCTTCTAACTTGGATATATTACTGCTTTTAGAGGTTTATGGTCAACTAACAACCAAACTATATGAAAGATGAAATTACCTTCACTTGTCCAAAGCCAGCTTATCCTATTTATGAAGTATATTCCGCAATAACCTGTATGTGTTGTTTTGTCTCCCATCTGTGTCCTAACTGATTCGATACTAAAGAGCATGTTTTAAGTACGATATTTTTTTTTTAATCAGAGTTTGTCTACTGATCAAAAAGTTGATGTTATAGGGTTTTCACGTCTGTCGTTTTATAACAACGTTTTGCAAATTCTATTGTCGTTATAATGACTTTTTTGCAAATTCAACCTTTCTTTGTGTCGTGATTTGATTGACATGCTTCACAACAATTGTTGAGCCATTGTTTTTATTCTATAATTTGACTACAGACATCTCTGTTTACCTGATCAACATTGAGGGCTCACAGTGGGCGTAACCTGTCGAAAAGGGATGCTCACTCCTCCCAGGCTCCAGTCTGTGCTTTTGCCCAGTTCACGATCCGTATTCTCTGGATTTATGAGATTAGATCATTCGTCGTTATCTTCACCTTTTGATATCTGTTAGAACTATTGAATAAATATCAATTAATTTAGTCGGTAGAATTCTCTCTCGCTTCGTAGTAGGGAGGTCGTGGGCTCGAGTACCGGCCTCGACAAACCTTAATCTATTAAAAATAGGAAGCAAGTGTTCCTTCGCCAAGCGCTCAGCACGAAGATAAACTTGCCGATGAATCGCGAATGTTGCTATAAAAACCTAGGTTTTTATGATGCAAAGGGTCTAAATTTAAGGCCCTTCATCGCCATTCGGTGACATCTCACATCAGTAAAATAATCTTGCAACGGACATAAATCTACAATCAATTAATCAATAAAATAATTCAGTGAATTCTTGTACTTTACCGTGAAGTCAAATACATGCAATTAATAAACCATGTCAATATTAATGTCCTTATTATTCTAACATAATATTAACATACCTATCTACATGTAGGTAAACGACTATATTTTAATTACATCTCTCCACAGAAGCAAATGACAATGCGTAAAACAACAAGACTTTCAAAGTCACTTCGTGTATGAATTTAAAAATGTAATAAGAAATACAGATGAACATTTTATTGGTTTTTAATTGAAGTATTCATTACTTCAACATATATTCATTGGAATACCACCATGACTACAACCATTTGTGGTTAATATGGTTTATGGATACCTCACTGAAACAATTAAAACAACAATTAAAAGGGTTTGAGCGGTAAGTATCTGCATGCTGTTTGTACTTTTTTGTTTTTGATTAAATCTGTTTTCCAATATTGATTTTTAAATGTAAGTTTCGTTCATTTTTCACGTTTGTATGATCAGTTGTGTCTCTCATATCGACATTATATTCATACAGACAACTACTTAGGTGTTGAATTCAAGACTAGAAATATAATATGTATTTTAATCCCTCTCTTTACAAACAGTATTTTATTGTACTCTGACGTTGTGCGTCATTTTTCCCCATCTCGTCATGTTTTAATTTTTTCATTAAATGATACACTCCACAACTTTAAACACTTTAGCATTGTTATATATCAACGAAATATCACTATCTATTTGCATGTTTACCTTCAAATTATACTATTGTTTCTTCCACAAGTTAAACAATGGCGATATGTTAAAAATAATGCCTAAAGAAGGGTTAGAACTTTACTAAGTTTCCCTTTGTTAACTTCATTTTTATTATCATAAGAGTAAAAAGGATGAAAATAAACCAGAATTAGGAACTTTTCTACAGAAAGCAATAGAATATGTCACCCGAACTCATTAAGAAGATGCAACATTAGAGTATAATGCAGAGGAAACAACTACGATTTTTAAAATTTTGCACAAAATCGAATTTTTAGAAATTTACTGAATTTTTTGTTTCCATGACACCGACAGCCATTTAAGTAATGTTAAGCCCCCAAATATTATTTACATGAAGTTTCACATACCAGTGTCTCTAAAAAAAGGTAATATAAAAAGTATTTTCCATTTTTTTCCTACCGTGGTAATGTAACAATAAATGAAAAGTTTTTCATTTTTTTCAAAATACGCTTGACTTATGCAAGAAATAATCCTTTCATGTTTCAAAAAATTGGCTGGGCTGTTACTGAAAAAAACCCCGTGAAATTAACATTTTTAATTTTTCTTCTGCTGTCATGCCAGCAGTAGCCTCATTGGAATTTTAAACTAGATTTTTTTGGTGATTATTTTCACTTGTAAATTTCATTAATATTGTCCAATCAAAAAATGTCAAATATAATTCGGTGAAGGTTACCCTAATAATTTTAGAAAACCCAACCGACGGTGGAAATGATGTAATTTTTGTATACATAAGTTGGTCATTCGGATTATCTGAGTATGTTTGGTATTCTCTCCGGAATTCGGATCGATCGAGATATTGAATACTGGGAAGGTTAGTGGTAAACCTCAGGAATTTCTTTTTTGGCCACGGATCAGATAAAGTCCAAACTAAGAATTAAAGCTTAGGGAGCGGAAGAATTGGAATTACAGAGAAACTTTAAACCACTTATAACCCCCAGCCCCTATCTTCAAACAGGTAAATTACGCCTTTAAAAACATTTGAAAAAATGTTATAAAAACATTCATTTGAAAGAAAGCGGTATCATTTACCGCAATATGAACATTTTCTTTTTCAGAGAGGATTTTGTTCTAAAAGCTATCTTATTGAGAATTTGTGGCGCTTAATTAGATATAAATGTAAAAAAATGCTTGAATTATTCAAAACGTTCTATAAAGTCTTTCATTGCAGGTGTATAGATATTCCGTTTTTACTATTTCATACTCCTCTTGCTTATATCAATGAAATGTTATTAAATATAATATAAAATAATAGATAATTTATAAATAATAAATTTGCTTAGAAATATATAGATTTTGTATAAATATGTTAATAAAACGAAATATCTCGATCAAATTCATAACCGCACTATATGATTAAGACGAGAATTAATGTACTTTAGATCATCACACTTTATGTCGCGAGGAAGGAATTTGCTTTAATGTTAATCTATATCTTCGTCAAACAGTACATTACCTATGCTTACATACATGTACTGGTTTTCTTTTTTGCATATTACTAGGATTGTCTACGTCGTTTAAGTAAGTTTTTATTAGTTTTTAATCTTTTTTGCACACCCTTTGAATGCATGTTACATAACAATAAAATTTACCCGAAGTTGGAATTTTTTATGAATGTTAAAAAAGTTCAGAGGTTGCAATACTTTATTTTTTTTTTTTATTGCAAAACACACTAAAATATTCGGAATTCAAAATATGAGATATATTTGTATTGTTTATGTAATTTAAAGTTTTGTGAAAATACTGGTTAAACTTATGTTTAACGTTGCATATTCTCGGTCTGTCTCAATATCTTTCCAGGAAAAGATTTTTAAAAGTACATTTGTAACCTTGCCAAAAGGTCCTATATATATATATATATATATATATATATATATATATATATATATATATATATATATATATATATATATATATATATATATATATATATAACAGTTAAAAACATTTCTGATATACGAGTACAATAATTGTCCAATAAAGATAAACTACTTCTGCCAGTCTAGGCAAGGCCAGTCTACAATGAAGATGGATTAACCAGGGTGTCTAGAGTCAGAATCTTACTGAAAATTTGAGTGATCGAAAGCAGAAGAAACACAAGGTATACCTCATTTGTTTGACTGACTTCTGGAAAGTTAAATATCTTACACTGATAAGTTAACGTAGAATGAAATATATGGTAATAACGAACAGTATTCAAGCTTAAAAGTTCATTAAACAAAACAAATTTTGGAGCATAGCAAACACGGTCCTCTAAAACATCAGAGGTGGGGCCAGGTTCCATAAATAGAACAATCTCATACGTTTCCGATGTAGTGTAACTGATATACAAGGGTTAATTGTCATCACCAGAAAAAAAAAACTACAGCTATTTTTTGGAACTAGTCAAGAAAAACTTGAAATATTTATTCCTTCACGAAAATAATTTTCTTAAGACAAAATCCGCATATGTCGTGTTACATGGTAATTAACTTAAACCATCAATAACTATGATTAAGAAAATACAGGAATAAAAATCAGATTTTTTAAAAATGATTTTGCGTC